GCTCTAAGTCTCGTCCAACCTGGCCTTAAACACTTCCAGGTCTGAGTCAGCCACAAGTCAGCCTAGAGGGGAATTAAAAAAACAAAATCCCAAAATGTTAGAAATCATAAAAATGTAAACAGTTAAAGCTTAAAAAAATAGGGATAATTGGTAACTCTGCTCAATGTTCTAGATTTTGACAGCTTAAAACACTGTTATGCCACAGTCTTCCACTGACAGGTGAATGAAATCAGTCAAATCAAATGTATTTCTGTTTGCTACGTGTGTGATTTTGTAAACTTGACACCGCAAAGAACATTTTTACAGCAATACTGTTAGTGTTCAAGAACACAAAATCACAGAACAATTATGTGCAGGTGTTTTTATTGAAGTGCATGGGAACTAGGGCTATCAGCAACCCAAATCTCGCTCCATCGTCTTTGTCCAAAGTGCACATATTTATACAGTTTCAGCTGTAGCAGTAATCACTATAGCAACCTTATTGATATTGCTTCATTAACATTGCTTCATTAACTTTATTAATATTGCTTCATTAGAGTTAGTTCATCCTTGTACGAACCTGTACAAATCTTGTCTCTGGGTATCTTAGAGACCCCACATACCAGTTCCCGTTACAATAAACATCTCAGCTTGCTGGACAACCCCTAATACCAAACATTCTTGTGACCTACTTTTACATGATTTTCAGAAACATTTAACCCCATAGTAACAATGCCAAATTCTAATGCTTGCCTTTTAAATTGTTGACCTTTAGCAGTGAGATTGCCTGCATCACAGATTCGTGATACACTATCTTTCAGGAAAATGGATTTATTAGCAGGGGTGGTGGTGATGCTATCCATAGTGAGACCATGATGCCACATCAAATAGAAAACGTGGAGGAAAACTGATCTGTTTGTGTAGGAAGGAATGTGAAATGATAATTTCAGAGAAAGCATTTGAAATGTGCTGATACTTGGCTAGGATGTGAATGCTGAGTGGCTTCTGATATGCCACAGCCAAACCCCAGAAAGAAGCACGATCTGCCATTCTGCAGTACCCCTGCACCAAGCACATGGCAGCCTCCTGGTGTTATTTTTTTAAAGAATATCTTAAAAAAAAAATAAAATAAATATTTTGATGGTCCTTGTTAAAGCAAACTGAGAAAATGCAAGCATACAGTTCTTTCAGTATTCTGTGAAAAGAATTATAGTTGGTACATGATATGTAGATGCAGTTCCATTTATTAGATCCAAAATCTAGTTCAGATAAAAGGTGTTTGTCTTTGTGGTGTTATTGTAGCAGTTGCAGCACCTGGCCTCCCTTCCTTGGACCTTGCATGTCATGATTTAGGCCATCATATGTGATCCATAAAATTCTTTGTTGTCATTTTTTGCAATGTATTTTGAACTTGTCTCTACATGCATGCCCTAAATATTTTCATGTTATTTTCTTCATTTGTACTATGCTGTGCAATGCTACTAAGCAATATCGGGCTCTGATACTGCATTTCTTTTTAGAAGCTTAGATTCTTATGTAGTTTTGGAATACTAACAACCAGCTTAATCAGGTGAAATTGGAAAAATTGCCCATGGAAATTTTCCATCCCAGTCAAGTATATATAGAGAACACACAGTGGTGCACAATATGCACAAAAAAAATGTAGTATGGATGTATGGAGTAAACTAAGATACAGCCTAGGAAGAGAAAAGAAATGAACCCTTCTGCCTACTCACCTCCCTCCTTGAACATAAAGAAATACCTTTTCAATAAGAGCAGTAATCCCACACAGAGGATGTGGTCATATATATATGTTGTTAGAAATGAAAAGGAGCAGCAAGCACCACCAGGACAGTTTTCTTATTCTTGATGTGCACATCTTAACACAGCAATAAGAAGTCTAGAAACAAAAGATTGAAACAGAAGACACAATCATCTATTGAACTGATATTCAAAAATCCCATGTTGCAACCAGTGTAAAATGTAATCTGTTTCTGTTGTTCATTACCATTCATCATTTCAGCAAATGAAAGTTTCATTTTCACAGTTTTTTGTATGGTTCTCATATGTGTTTACATCTATTTGATTTATATTTGTTTTCAAATGTAATTTCAAATATATATAATGGCCCCAAATCTTTTTTCTTGTCCCTAGCCACTTTGTGTTGGAAGAGCCAACAAAACTGTGGCAACAACAACAAAACGAGTAATTTTGGATGTAAGGTCTGTTTGCTTTGAAAAAGATTTTTATCTTGATGAATCAAAATGTTGCCAGATCTGCTTCCTTTCTTGTTTCCAAGAGAAATGATTCTGAATTAGGAGGCTTGAAAAACAGATCAAAGGGAAGAAGTTTGTTCAAACTACCTCTACTGCAGGTTCAGTTAGTAATTACAAGATTCCGTTGTGGTCTAGGAAAATGTAAGTAGCACCCTTTGTTTTCCTTCTCTGTACATTATTTAGTCAGGTCTTGCTGTTGTTCACTGCATGACTGAGATCAAAAATGCCATTGATAAATTCAGAGAATAAGACAGTGATTCACACATCCCTCAGTTCAGACTAGGTGAAGGAGAAGGACACACTGAACAACAGAATTAAATATGATTTAATGTTTGTCAACACTTCCATGATGTATTGTTCCAAAATAATCTATTTTGATTTACAGTAATTCAGTGTAAATATAATCCATTTGCCAAGGAAGTGTCTTGTAATTTATAGTTTAGCATGAAATATATGACATCAGAGAATGATTTTGATTCGGTAAGCTCATGTTTGTGCAGCAACAAAAGAAAAATAAAATATTCCTTAAACAGAGAAACAGGGGCATAGTGGGGAAGCTCTCAGCTTCCCAGTGCCGTAACCTGGAGGAAGCAACTGCTGTCATCAGGTCTCCCATGGGTCCCAGGCTGGGCTGTTTCAGAGATCCTCCTTCCAGCCTGAAGATTAAGCTTTTCAAAATCTCTCCCTGATTTCAAGCATGCTTAATTCACAGAATCACAGAACATGCTGTGTTGGTCATAGATTGAGATCCCCACTGATGCTCATTTCCCCATGTTTTGGCACACCATCTCATTGCTTATCACTGGACAGCCTGGTTTTGCTCCTTTCCCCCCATCCAAGTTCATTTAAACCTTTGTCATCCAGCCCCACTATCTCCTGGGCTGAAGCTCTTCTTCCCCCCTGAGACAGGTGCATCCCTGAGTCAGGTGTCAGTGACCACATGATGATTATCCCATGGTCAACAAATGCAAATTTTTTCCACTTGGAGCCGTGCATTGACCTGATGAATCTGCCCATTCCTATCAGACTAGTGGGCTTCTTTGTCTCTGAAAGCCCTTCTTTCCAGGTGTACCCTCTTTTGGTTCATATGCTTTCTGAGAGAGACAAGGGAACCTGTATGTAAGAGCCTCATGGCAAAGGACTGCTCAGAGAGAAAAAGAAATAAAGCTTAGTCTTATGATTATATTTTAATAGCTTTCTTTTTATTTTAAAGTACTTCGACCTAATCCCCCAAGTTATCCCAATTCAGTATCCAATGTAGCATTGTTTTCAGCTCTTTGCAGGTGGTTTTTAAAGCCCTCTTTAGATGATACATGGGGCCTACATAGTGAAGTCAATAGATAGACAGGATATAATTTAGACTTCAGCTTTTCCTCTCAGTTTGAAATAAAATTATTACATTTCAGGAAAGTCTAAGGAAAGATTTAAAGTTTTATATCAAAAGTTGAATATTTTCTTTTGTTGTACCCTCTTCTTTAAAAGAAAATGGTATTCATTTAAAATAATGCTTGTTCTGATGTATTTAAAAAGGCACAACTCTGAATTAAAAAGAAATTCATAAAGTATGCATGTATGGGAGGGGAAGATTACATTCTTCGCTGGAGCATTTAGTCAAAGGGTTTTAATGCAGCCCATTCTGCTTAATTGATAGAATCTTTGCTTGTCTGCAAAGACAAGCTGTAAAAAACAGATGGCCAGTAGCATTTGCAGAGCAGTTGTTAAGGTGACAAAATCTTCTGGGGCTCCTCTCTACAGACAGGTTATAAAGCATAATATCATCTCTGTTTCAGACTGGGAAATGGTCCTTGATTGTCTTTAAATCCATGAAAAGTAGTTCTAGGCAATAGCTGCACATAATTACAGTTCTGGTAACCCTTGTAATCCTTGTGATGCCTTTCATTCCTTTTACCCTAGAGTTATACAAGGGTAGAGGTCACCTGCAGCATACAAAGTTGTAAAGCTGACATAGGACTCAAAAATAGGTGGAGTCTCCAAGATATGAATAGAGTAAGAAGTGAGGGGTAAGATAAGAACAGAATAAATTTGTTGTGTTATAAGGTATGGTTGCTTTAACTGGTGATATCTGTGGGGCTGCTTTACCAAGTATGCCCTGGGCACATTTTTTAAAAGCATTGCCTACTAAATATTGCTGGAAATATCCTAAAAGCAAATGTGTCTCTTGTAGGATATCACCACATCGGCCAAATGAACAAAGGTCTTATTTTTCCAGAAACCATCAGAAGAGTCTAAAAATAAGCTTGCTGTAGCTAAGTAGACTGCTCTCATGCTTGTTAAAATGAAGACTGCAAAGCCTGCTACTGTTACTTAAGAGGAGAGTATCACTGAACTAGCAAGTTGAAATTTTATGATTTTATTGCAGAAAAAAAAGCTTATTTCTTTCAGTATATTCTTCCGGGGAAAAAAAAAAAACAAAAACAAAAACATTCTTCTACCTGTTAGCACAAATGAATACTCCCATCTTAAGGCAGCACTACCAACACTGTTTTACATTCATTTACCTAGTATCAGTGGTGCTTATTTTCACACGTGGGTACCTGGCCATGGGAACCTAGGTTACATTGCCTCATTAGCCTCCACACCACCAGTTAAATAGACAGTAACAAATGTTGAGGTTGATTGGGGATTTCAGAAGGTCTGGTGCTCAAGGTACAGAGTGGTGAAGGTCTGTTTTCTACTGAAATGACTCTTACAAAGGGATGAATTGTTAATGTGTTGTTATTCCAGGTTTCTAGAAGAACTGATGTGGTGGCAGAATTAAGACGACAATTAATGGCTGCTGAGGAAGAAGACAGTTTATCATATCCTCCTCTGAATGTGACCACTGGAAATTATTCCTGCATCCTTTTTTATGCTAGTAATTTCAGCCTCAAAGCCAACGGTTCAGTTTTAATAGATTTGACAAATGCAACATTTTTAACACAGAATGTGGATATTTCTGCTTCTGAGTGCTCAGACAGCAACACAACGTGAGTAACATAAGAAGTTTCATATCACAATACATGTAATTCTGAAAACTATCAGAAATATTACAATTTAAAATTAGTGCTATTTTAATGTTCTTCTTCTAAAGAATCCAAAATTTTAAAAAAATGTATTCTTAGAAGAAAAAAGTTAAGTCAAAACCACAAAAACTGTTCAGACAAGGACTATTATTTTCACATTTTTTTTCTTCTTATGTTTCCTACTCCCTGGTTTGTTTATCTTTGATCCAAACAGGTTTCCCTGTGCCTGATCTCACAGTCACAAAAATCTTCACTGGCATTAATGAGATCATAGCTTCATTCCCTTGAAGGGGAGTATTGCCAGTTATGAGGTAGTAACTCAGCTAGAAGTATATTATTGAAACATGATCTCTATTTTCCTTTACTTTGAAGCACCTGCTCTTGGGTAAATAAAACTCTAGAAATATTTAGTCATATTTTTCTATGTACTGAACCTTTGCTATATGACTTTTGTAATTACCTACTGACTTACAATATATTCCTCAAACTGAAATGTCACAATGATCTAATTAAAGCTGACTACTCTAATATTAAAAATCTGTTTCTTATTCTTAGACTGTCATTAAAATACACAAATCCAGTGAATGGAATCAGCAGCCTAGAGATAAGGTAATTTATGATTTATTTTAAATAGGTCTTTTGTGGTTTGTAATTTACCTGTTAGTAAATTAATAAACTAGGAGCATAAAAATAGGGGAGAAGTTAAATGAAAATATTTTTTAATTTATTATTTTCTTTCTAGTCTGAGGAGTCACAATGCAGGAAAACAGTAGTACAGTCTTTATAAAGAAAATATATTAATATGCTCAGGTAAAGTTCTGAAAAAATATTGTAGGCAAACATCCATACTGTAAGGTACTGGTATATGCAGCTTCCTGTTTCACTAATAGGATCAGTCCACAGTCCTCTCAGGAAAATCTAACTGTGGTCTGTAAAATCTTAGAGGAGCTGAAGTCTACCTGCATGGCCAGGGCTGTATTGAGTCCTAATGTTGATTGCCAGTTCATTCTTTTAGTACTAGCTTGTGGTCAATGAGGGGGTGAAAAAAGTATTAACCCAGTGCTTCTAAGTCCACCACTAAACCATATCCTAAGTGCAGCAACATCTAAATATCTTCAAGGATGAAGACTCAGCCACTTGCCTGGGAACCTTTTCCAAGGCCTGTCAACCCTTTAACTGAAGGAATTTTTCCCAATATCCAACCTAAACCTCCTTGATGCAATTTGAGGCCATTTCCTTCTGTTCTGTGTCTTCTTACTTGGGAGAGGAAACTAACCCCCAGCTCACTACAACCTCCTGTCATGTTGTAGAGAGTGGTAAGGTCCCCCTGGGTTTCCTCACCTCCAGGTTACTAAGCACACCCAGCTCCCTCAGCCACTCCTTGTGCTCCAGCCCCTTCAACAGCTTTGTTGCCCTTTCCTGGACATGCTCTGGTACCTCAGTGTCTTTCTTGTAGCAAGCGGCGCAGAACTGAACACCAGATTCGAGGTGCAGCTTTACCAGTGCTGAGTATGGGGGGACAATCCCTGCCCTGGTTTGGCTGGCCTCACTATTGCTGGTACTTGCCAGGATGCCTTTGGCCTCCTTGGCCAGCTGGGCACATGCTGGGTCATGTTCAGCTGCTATTCACCAGCACCCCCAGGTCCTTTTCCACCAGGCACCTTTGCAGCCACTCTGTCCCCAGAATGTGGTGCTGCCTGGGGTGGTTGTGAACCAAGTGCAGGAGTTGGCATTGTTGAACCTCATACCATCGGCCCTGGCACATCAGCCTGTCCAGATGAATGCTCAAATGGATAAATACTATCATTTACACTGAGACAGAAAGACATCCTGAGTTAGGTAAAAGGACCCCAGAAGAACTTGTCTTGAGAAGAGTCAGTGATATGTTTGGAGTGGTATTCAGAGTGCATAGAGACACTTGTAGTCAGTATTAGAGATCGTGACTGGCGGCAAAAAAACAGACATACTTTGTTATTTAGCATCTCCCTTCTCACTCAACCAGCTAGAGCTTTGTAAGAGAATATACTGTACAGAAAACATTACTGTTGTACAGTATATTGTACATTGTATAGTGTTTTTATTTTCATGATTATTGAAGTTAGCTGTATATAGGATCCTCGGGACTGGTCCTTTGTGATGGTGTGAAGCATGCCTTGGTCTCAATAATGTAAATTATCAAAGAGACATGTATTTCCCTAATCACCATGGGGAATTAAGAAAATATTTTCCTTGTATTTCCTTGTATTCAAAAGATACGTGTCTCCTACTAAGACTCTAGCCAAGTTTTATTTTTCCTTTTGCTACAAGTCCCAAAATAGAACTTTCTCTGGTACTGCCCTGACGCTCTCCTGTGTGCTCTTTAGTGCTCCTATCCCACTCTGACAGAGACAGGCCCTTCAAAACACTGCTCTGATTTTCATTCTTCATCTTTGTGTGTCCTAGCACAAGTCTTAGCTGGTCTGCTGTAATCTCTTTATGAATGAACATGGCTCTTTCCTACATTTCTCCTGAATATGGCTATCCTCAGCATAATATCATCCTTCCTAGTAAAATTATAGTTCTGAGAAAATAGTACAAATCACAAAGCATCCTATGTAGCATGGGACTGTGCTTGAAAGCAAGTTAATAGCTAGATCTTAAAGGTATGTTTTCTTTAGTAGTCAACAGGCTTCACTTAACTGTACAATGGCAAATTGCAAACCTTGAGACAGTAATATGGAAACAAAATCCTTTGGCAGTTGTTTTCTGCAGCTGGCAGAAGATCAGATGTGATGTTAGTGCACACATGGATTTGGTGAAGATTATTTAGATTTATATTTAATAATCTGTTTGTTAAAAGCTTATAATTTTAATTAATTATTGGATGAAAAATTGAATGCAGTCATGAATCTGAGTTGCATCTGGAAAGAATAAATTTGAAGCAACTCTGCAGACACTGTAATTTAGATGAAAATGCCAGTACAAAAGGTGAATGGTTCATGTTTTCTTTCTTTTTCAGGAAAAAAATTTATATCCTTTGAGCCTGTTGTAGTAGAGGCAGAAATGTTCACAGAGTCTTTCTTGACCTGTGCTGCTACTTGAACATATTATAGTTAAATACCAAAATGCATAAATAGTCCTTGAAGCTGGAATAAGAAACTCAGGCTCTGCAATAGGTGACGACTTGAAAAGAGAGATAGGTCCTGGATGTTTTCATGCCAAGCATGTAAGAGTAGCATAGACTGGCTATGTTTTGCAGGAAAATTCAATTTATTCCAATGGGCCTTGTGTAATCCAGGTTTTTAATAGACCTTCAGGGCAAATAAACACAAATTGATCAATTTTTATTTATGACACAGGAACTTAGAAATATAAAATGGAATAGAGAGAAATGTAGGGGGTAGCTTCCAGGGTAACTTTTTCTTGGACCTTCACTATGCATTGGCCTGTCTGTGGGAGATAGAGGCTGACTGCTTCTGTGTTGCTTTTCCCCTCTTGCCTTAACTTATTAAGCTGTCTTTATCTTGACCCACAAGTTTCTTCATTTTTGCTCTTTCTGTTCCTCCCTTGTCCTGTTAAACAGGGGGACTGAGCAAACAGCTAAATGTGTGCTTGGCTGCTGGCTGGTATTGACCCATAACACCTCAGAGCCTTTATTAATTAACAATAGTTCTAAAGACTCACCTGATTATTTGCAGTTTCCTGTTGGATTGTCTCTTGATGGGACAATGGTGTCATTTTAGATCTCTGTTAGCTACCATAATACTGTATTGCATGCTATATAATGCAAATAATAAGATACATGGAACAGAACCAGAGCAAGCCATTGGCTTTTTTCATGATTTGCTAGCACTTTATGGACCTTGTGTATCTCAATATGTCTCTTGTCAAGAGCTTCTAAAATCCATAGAGATACTCTACAATCTCTGTTTTCCCCTTCTGGTTCATTTTGATTAGATTACTTTTTCAAGATTACACCTTGATAAGATCATGGTTTGCCTTAACAAACAGGACACGAGCAGGGCAAAGAGGTGGAAGGAACAGAGCTGAGAGCCACGACTTTATGCTTCTGTAAAGGCCTTTTACTTAAGTATAGGATAACATATCTTGAAGACAGAAAGTGACTCCAGAGGGGACCATGTTCAAGTAGCTCAGTTTATTCATCAATAAAAGAGGTTCTAACTTCAGCAGCATGAGCAGGATCCAGAGCCTGCTCCCCTTATCAACACCAGTCTATGCCCACGTACAGAGCAGCTGGTCACATCCCACCTCCCACTGACAGCTGCGACTGCTGCTTCATCCTGTGCACACACACAGCTGCCACCTCCCTCTCCCTCTCTAGCAAGAGCTACAGTCTCACTCATCCTCCTGCTCTTGCCCTGGGAGATGAGCTGTAAGGGAGTGGTTGTAGTGTTGTTGTGATAGTGTAAGGAAAGTAAGCTACTGCTGCAGCAGGAGTGGGAGCAGTGGGCAGTAGTACTTTGCTGGAAGAAGTAGAATCTCAGCTCTCATAAACTGATCCAGCTGTTCAAGCACTTGTCATTTTCTCTGAGAAAAAGTGTCAAAGTGAATGGAAGTGCTGAACATTAGTATTCCACTCTTACATTGATACGTACTTGCCTCCTGTTGTTGCTCAATGTACAGAATAGAGTAGAGTTGACCCAAAAAAACATGTTTTAGAGTCTTTTGCTTAACAGTTGTGTTCCTCCCTGAATATTTGAAACAGTAATTCTAGCTATCTTCTGCTTCAGAAATACCTCTGCTTGTAATGATTAGCCACACGAGACTTGATTAGTGGTGGTGGCATTCAGAGTTCATACAGCTATCTGGCACAAAGGGATCCTGGCCCAAGAACAGGAATTTTTTGTGCCACCATACATAAAGTACATAATGTATCTAATGTGCATAATTGTTTCTAATGTTTAACGTGAACATGAATTTCCTTAAGAAGCCAAGGTACTTTCAGTTCTGCAGATAAAACCTTTGTTCTGTCTCTTCTCTGTATCATTAATTTGCTATGATGTGCTCTATTTGCTATCTACTCATTTGAGAAAATGTTAAACTAAATGAAGTAATTCTTTAGATTTTTTTTTAATGCCTTTTTTCTTGTAATTAAATGAACTATAGTAACATCTGTTACCAGTTAAGTGTGTGCTTGTTGGAGGTTATTCAGTGTTATTTGTTTGGAAAAATCTGAGGATAGCAGCCTTTATTACTAAGTTAACTGTGCTTAACTAGTTAACCAATTAGAATGTTAATTCTCATAAGTCTTCAAGTAACACATTTTAGTCCTTGTAATTTAGTCCTAGTAATGTGAAGAGACAGCATTCCCTTCAAAGTCATTTTAGACTGTACTCACCACAAATGTGGCCTTATAAAACTTTTTGTTCATATGGTCAGTTTACAAGGAATTTCCTTCTTTACCACTTTTCTCATCTTATCAGCAAAAGTACAGACTGCAGCCAGCCTCTGTGGTTGTCATAAACATTTAAGTAAGCTCCTCTGTGTTTATAATGTCTTTCAGCTAGTGCCTATAGCATTGCAACTGGGACACCATGGAAATTCTGTTCAGATTGTACTGTACATCAGGAAAAGGTTTCTTTCGTCTAGCAATAATATCAAGGTTTTAATTTTGTAACTATGTAAGAATAGAATATTTTCAATATATATTTGTAAATGTGGACTGGATGGAATTAATTTTTTTTTTGTTTTTTGTTTTTCACGGATGCTTTCAGCTCAGTGTTTTATGGATAAAACTGTTCAGGCTTAAAACATGAGCCTTTTCTCACTTCAGTGACACCGCGTTCTGGAATTCCTTCTGAGCGTTTTGAAACTCTTCAGGTTTCTGAACTTATATGAATCACGAGCCACTGATTATTAATAAATATTTTTTTAAAAAGCAATGTTAGATTCTGTGCTGTATGGATAACACAATATTGAGAGTAACTAATTTGAACATACAAGTAATATTCTGCAGAGAGAATTTTCTCTCTGTATGCATATACCCTACAGAACATAAAATGTCTATATTTTGGCTCACTTAAGATGACTATATTTTGTCAAACCAATCATAATTACATCTAAGTTATTACTTCAAATTTTAAAGTCAACATACAATATTAGTCATTGTGGATCGAGAGATTTGAATATTTCATTTTTAGCAAGTATTATTTATTGCTAAATAGATTTCTCTTCTACATATTTCATGGTTTCCAATAATCAAAAGAAATCATCAGCAAACTATGTAGAGATACACATGCATAGACCAAGTAGGGTTAAAGTATTAAACAATGTACACTGAGGAGAAAGGTTTATAATTTCCTCATGAAATAGATTTTGCCTAAAAGTAACTGTATTAAAGTGGTAAAGTGGTAAAGATTAGCACATCGTCCTGATCTGTAAAGGATCAGAATGTATTTCTGGACGTCAGGAAGTTCTCAATTATTTCTGTTGGGAGCTGTTCAGAGTACATTGGTAGTAACATAAATTCCATGATTATGAACTGCTGCAATATCCCACATACATGGATGCTTTTAAAATAAGAAAATACCTTTTTGTACCAAGCCTACTTCAAATTGTGGAACTAGACCTGGCAATTGCTCCTGACCCACCAGTGAGAGAAAGCTCTGTCTTCTACACCAAATTCAGACCTTTGCAAAGGAAATTGCCATTTAGGCATTTGAGCTGAGAAAGAATCACAATGATAAATTAGATTGGCTATCATGCCTGTACCCATCATAAAAGCAATTTTCCAAAAGTCCCATCAAATGTTTATTCTGAGCCACTGCAGTCTTACTGACACTTTCTCAGCTTCCCCTTCACTGATTATAAACTGTTGGTAACTGATGAAATACAGCAGTGGCAGAGGCCCTTGAAGAATGAAATTGCATTTGCTTCTTGCCTGCCACAGCTATAGAAAGCTGTGCTTGTGAGGTGAAACTCTAAGTAGTAAACACATTCACAGAACCTCTTCCCTTCTGAACAACTTGAACGATTCAGGAGTCCATATCATCATCAGCTGTGATGTTTGCAGCCAGCAATAGTGAACCTTTATCTGCTACTGGTACTTTGTCAAATGTATATTCATTTTTTCCTTCTAACCTTTTGACTTTTTCTTTTTGTCCTCTGTTGTGTTCCTAGGTTTTTAATGACCAACAAGTTCTATGAAGTCTCGGCTAGAAAATGGTCCACTTTAAATTCAGTTGAGATTGTACAAGATGGAGAAAAGTTTGCTAAATTTAATGTTTCTGGCATCTCTGCCCCTGCAGAGTATTCATTTCATTGTCAGCTGGTGGGAACAAGCAATCTCTATCCTGCAAGGCTGGTTCCATCCAACAATGAGGCAAAAAATTGGGATGTTTTCATTTCCAAGCTGCAAGTGAGTATGGGTTGCCATTTCATAGATAACTCCAAGAACTATTACTTGCTATTGTAGGTGGTGAATGACACACATTCATAATGCCCTTACTTTCATTCCAGCCTGGGGGAAAACATAAAAGAAAAGCTGTTCCCCTAGGTGAGCTATTCAGTAGAGGGGTAAAAAAGATGCCAGTTGCTGAACAAGGAAAACATGAAAGCACAGCTTTGAAAAACAAAACTATGAAGTTGTCCACATAAATAAAACCCAATTAAACCAAATGCACTTAATCAGGTAAAGAATGACTAAGTCCTCATGCCTGTTTAATGAATTGGGCTGCTCTTGGAAACAAGGGCCTCTTAGGTGGGTGGCTTTATACTGCTTACTTTGTTTTTATTTGATTTCTCGGTGCTTTGTTTACCTAGGAAAGTACAGCTTAGTGCTGCTGCTGTTTTCAGTGACTGTCTGCACTCCTGCAGATAGAAACAAAGCCCAGTGCAATTTGATTTAATGGGATGTTTGCCATGGACTTCAGTCAGGAATGGTATGAGTTCCTGCATGATCCAGAAGGAAAGCAGCTTGATTTTTTTGAACGACACATAGTTTTTCTGCATATTTAGTAGTAGTTCAGACTACATATGTGACATATAAATGATTACACCTTTATTACTTTGAGCTTTGTTCTTGACCTAAGAGAAGCATAACAACATTTATATCTTAAAACAGTATTGCACTAAGGGATCTCTTTGATGAAAGAGATCATAAAAATAATAGGAACAATTCCAAACTGTACTCTATTTGTCAAACATGAGCTGTATACAAATGCTAATATAATTGTATTTATAATTTTGATAACAAACCAATCTCAATAATCTGACTCCAGACTTGACACTTCTGCTTAAGTAATGTAAATCTCACAGAAAGAGCATTGATGCTTAGATTTATTTCCCACAAATTCCAGTGTCAAGTCTCACCATTTTTTGAGCAACACTGTTGCAATACATACCAATATTGTGAAGGTTCCTTATGATGTAATTTTTATGTAAGGCCTGAAAATACCAGAGTTCACGCAACTGTACTTTGCCTAGTGAACTCATTGGAGTTAGGCTTTCACATCACTAAAATACGAAAGGACACGACCTATGCAATTGTGAAGTGTATACTTACCACCTATCTTTTCCTTCTGTTTCCATATGCACTGATATTACTGCCTTCTTAAAGCTTAAACAGGCTCCAGTCTTAGCAGGCATCCTTTCACTGTGGTCTAAACCAAGAGTAGAAGTAGTGGTTTCTCACCTTCCTTATTGATTTGGAACAGCAGATGCTTTCACTGTTCAGACAGCAGAACCTCCAGTTCCTCTTGAGAAAGGGCTTTTTCTCTGACCCAGTCCTAAACATGGCACACAACACAAAACTCCTGGGCTGATATTTTTCTGTTGTGTGAGAAAACAGAGGGTCACCATTCTGGGCTCATTTCCAAGTTCTATCTGACCCAGATCATACTTTTCCAGGTACCTTCCACTGATACATACTGAAAGGTGATCTCGGTATCACTCTTTGTTATTGCCTAAGGTTTAGAAACCCCCAAACTCTGTTGCATGGTGAAAAAGCATGTGGGATGTGCTCAGTAGTTGCAGCCAGCACAAAACCTTGTTGCTGAAACTGAGGAGCATGATTTTCATGTCAGTGTTATGCAATGAATTAGAAACCAGGATCCAGTGCCAATCAAACTGGCACAATCGCGCTCTGCGGCACTGGGTCCTGGAAGCTGAATCACAGTAATAGAGGGACAATGGCAGCTGCACAGGAAAGCCTTACACAGCTTGTACCTAGGCAAAATTGAACAGGTGTAGCCTTTTACTTCAGTTCTGGAGCTGCCTCACTCACTACCGTCTAAAAGAAGCTCTGTGGGATGCTGGCTAGGCATGCTCACAGCCTGGGATGTCACCACTCCTGTGTCACCACATCTCTACAGAGCACCAAAACTTTTGGTTTTGTTGGTTGTTGTGGCTAGGAATGGTTGTTCTACCATGGTACCTTTTGTCCTTTTGAGGATCTCATATTTGTCAATGAAGTTAAAGAGGTGGCTGACACCAAAAGCACTGCTCTTCTTCACTGTGTATGGTTCAGAAGTACTTTGAAAGCTATGAAAAACTGCTAAAACTCCAAAATCAAGAATATTCTTTGCAGCTAAAATATCTCAAAGTTCAAAAATTAGAAGTTTGGTGTGTACTGAAGAGCCATAAACCCAGCATATTTTAATTGAAGTTTTGGTCAAAGGCCATATGATGAGAAATCTGCCTTCAAAAATATTTAAAGGAAGTACAGACTTGTATAATAAAGACAAATGACTGGTCTAAACACCAGAATTAAAACTTCCACTGGATAGAGGCCTGCATACAAAGGACTTTAGCATTCATAAATATTAGAGAACCACATGTAAGTATTTTTTACTTTTCTGTGTATGCTGCTAAGATTCCCATTTTCTGCCAAAAAAAAAAATAACCTGGCATATTCTTCATCTCTTTCCTAAAAGTAGGCATATTATTTTAGGAAAGTACAAGTGAATCTTTCATCTAGATGGTTCAATAAGAAGAATGCTGTTTAAAAAAAATATAAGACCACTAGAATTTAAATAATTAATTTCAGTATTTCTGGCTCTAAATCAGGAGTGCCAAAGCCCTTCTAAACTGAATATACCTGTTAATTACTTTAGAGAGTCCTTGTAAATGTAGTAAGAAGTGTGTTTTGTTTTCCAGAATTCCAATCCATTTTTTTGAACACAAATGACATAAATCATCACCTTCTGTCTGTTTTTATTGTCAGTAAGTCTTTCAGGCTACAATTCACGACTCCTGTTCACATCCTCACTTGTAGTCAAAGCAGTGGCTTAACAAGCAAAGGCTCTTGCAATGTATTCACTAAAAATGTGCAAAAAGTTGTCCAGCCCTGGAGCTTATTTTCACTAATCCTGCTTTAACTAAAATTCTGAGTACCTTTGGTGAAAGCAGGCGGTCTTTGCAAGTTAGCTACTCTGATTTGACTTGGAAAGATTCTTCTAAAAGGTTGAATTACTAAAATTTTCTTCACCTCCACATTATCTAAAAAGCATTTAGTTCCTCACATAATAGTAGTTTTATTAATCACCATTCTGGAAGGTATAGCCATTGCTCATAACACACATATTAGATAAACATTAACTTTAGGGACCTGAGCCATGACTGGATGCAAGCCCAGAGTGTTTATGGGTGTATTTGTTGCATGGTATTTGTTCAGTTTGTACCAAAACTTTCCTAGGAAGTACAAACACTTTTATTAACACAATGCAGGCTTTCTATTTATTTTGTTGTAAATCATAGAATAATCATGGTGTGGGAACACATAAAAGTAGAAATCCTTGATCTTCTTCTTTCTTGGTTATTGCTGGGTGAGACAAGTGATTTAAATAAAATAATCCTTTTATAATTTTATTTGATAATATTTTATGGAAAATAATAATATTTAACATGTCATTTCTTTACCAGTAGGTTTATGATATTCGGTGCTCTCCTTACACACCCATTTCAGAGATTTTATAAATGCATAAGAATCCCAGTCTTCATTTTTCTTTTTAAAATTATTTAAGAATGAATCAAAATGAGATCATATTAATTCTTTCCTTCCTCTTCTTCCACCAGTTTTGTTCCCTTCCTTCTAAAGGAACCAGTGCTTATGCCATTACGTGTATGTTTGTAGAGGGGAGATTGTCTTTCCTTTCTTCACAGTTTTCTAACCCTTTGATTGAACAAAACAAAAAAATTTGAACAAAATTTCTAGAAAGTTAGCGGTCTCAAAGGCATTCAGTTTTATATTTTTGTACAATTGGGATCTAGTCATAAAACGTATCTCCAAATTTGTTGATTTTTCTGAGGAAAATAACGTGGTTGGAGAACAGTCAGTGGCAGACATTACAAATTCAGCCAAATCAGAGATATTGCAAACTTCTCTAACTGCTGGAAAAGTTTATATAGGTTTTATAAGTTAATAGACAACACATATCCCATACCTCAATAAAGCAAGCCTTTCCTTCTGTTCTGAGCCTTTGATGTCTAAGGAGGGAGGAATAAAGATTTCACAACTTTTTTCTCCTTGAACTTTCACTAAAACTCAGCCAAAAAAGGCATCTTTATTAGATGTGTTTTAAAGTAGGTTCTAGGAATTTTGTTTGTCAAGGAGCTATTAGCTAAAACTCTCAGACTATTTCAACAAATCTCATGGTCTGAGCAACTTTAACTCTCATGACTTTGAGTGCTTTGAGTTTCCTGGTTCTGAAGTGGTCATAGTGCTGATGATCAATGAATACCGATATACTGGTTATATGAATACAGAATACTGATCACATGTCCCTGCTGGGACTTTGCTTCTAAAAGCACTACAAATTTCTGAAGTGGGAAACCTACTTCTTAACAAAGAAATGGATTCTAAATCTTTAATTTCCTGCATGAAAAGGAAACCTGGAAAATTGTTTTGCAGAGGATTTCGTTTTCACTCTTTTTTTTTTTAATGAGCAGAGTACAATTGATAGTTAAAGAGTGTGGGTTTTTGTAATTACCACATATATCCTGAGAATAAGTGCCATGCTTAATTGCACTCATCTGTCTACTGTTCCTCATTTTCAGATTCAAGGCTTCAACATTATAGACAACCAGTTTTCCTATGCAAGTGACTGTACAGGTTTCTTCACTCCTGGAATTTGGATGGGCTTGGTGACATCTATAATTTTACTGTGGATCCTGACCTATGGAATCCATATGATCATGCAGCTCACAACAAACAGCAGATTTGACGATCCCAAGGGTCCGGCTTTATCAGTTCCTCAGACAGAATAGCCATGGATTGACTTAAACATCAGACCAGGAAAAGCCACAGCAACATTATGATTTTAATAATCTTTTTACTTCATAATATATTTAACTTAAAAGGATATAATGAGAAAACCAGATAATTAAGCAACATATAGAAATGATACTTATGTTTGGCAACAATAATAATTCTGTCTGTTATTATGGTCATTTGTTAGCAGCTTTTTGTGTTGAGGTTCTGAAGTAAGACTGTAGAGGTTATTAGTCTCTCTGGCTATTAGAAAGACTATTAAAAACTTCCTCAGATTAACTTTTATTGGCAAAGAAAACATACCAAAACATAGATAATTGGAAAGGATAAAATATTTGATGAGAAACTGTATGTTGAAAATTCTGGTTCTCTAAAGACTCTTTAGTCTCATGATGATGCTATATCTTAGGAAATTTTAACTGTGTTTGAATTTTTTTCTCTTGAGTAAAACATACAGAAATGTACAGAACTAATAAAGTGTAAGTCACTAAATAAATGGTCCTGGGAAGTCTTTTCAAAATTCATCACTTTGTTCAGATGTGGTATCACAAAAGAGAATGGGTAGATTAAGGTTTAGTTTCCATCTAATGTTATCTTATGCTTGTGAGAATTATGTTGAGTAACATTGTCTTGTGTTTGCTTTGGCCATGGACAGCTGATGGGAAGTCAGTCAGTGGCCAAACTGATCACAAAATTAGATTTGGTGTCATAGCAATGAATGCAAATTTTCAGGTTCAGAACCTATTATGATTCAATGTGCTAAAGCAGACAGCATCTAAACAGAGATAAGGTAGTTTTCTTAGCCTCCTCCATTTTCCAGGCATCTTTGGAAAAGTTATGAAGTTCATAAAAAAAAGGAAAAATAATATTATATAAAATCATTAGAAGCACTGTGCCAATGTACAGTTTAAGTATGAGAATTCTGTGGTCATCTTGGTGTTTCTAGAAGCCTGAAAACATACACAGTGTGCTGTATTCTTCTGCAATTAATAGAAACACTACGTCTTCTAATGGGATAATCTGATTATGGAATGAATTGCTAAATTTTATGTAGAACTAGGAAATATTAAAAGAGCAATGGTAAAATGGTAAAAATAAGACTTATTCTTTCTTCTGGGATTTTTTTATGACTGTGCATTCTCAATTAGCAGTTAAAACCCCCCAAAATATCATTTTGACAAGATTACACTCATGAAATGAGAAAAATTCTAACTCTTCTGATCTTGATCTACGTCATAGTAGTGATACAAAGGAAGGACAGTTAGAATCAATTATTTAACTAGATAGACAACAGTTTCTATCCATCATTTTTGGTGTTTTATTATGCAGTCCAAAAAGTAGATTAAATGCTGTCTGAAGCTATTCCTTTTGAATCATTCAATCCTGACCTGGAAAACAAAAGGAAAATGTCATATAACTAGCAGAGGTGTCTCCTGTGCTGTAATAGTTTTCCCTAATGCTTTTCAGAACCTCAAAGAATGCATTTGATCTACACAGAACTTCTGTTTCTTTGCACAAATTAGTTGCCAGGAGACAACTGGACTTGTTTTATTAATTCTCCCTTCAAAGCAAGTTGTATGATTGTGACATGGAAAATTGACATAATAGTCATGTAACTATTGCTAGAAGAGGGAAAGCTGTGCAAAGAACTTGATTGATGGAAAACAGCTTTCTTAGGACTTTTATCTAGCTTCAGTAAAATTTGGAAAAGATTTTGTTCAACAGCAGTGATAAAAAGGAACTGAAGGAGAGCTTTACCAGGCCACCTAGCATAGGGTTCTATCTTCAGCAGTGGTATGAGTATGGTGAGCATCTGTTAGTGCTCCCTGCAGATGTTCCCCATTCTCCACCATTTAGCTCAGGTACTTCCTCAGCCAGATGTGTTGCCTTTGTATTTAATAACTCTGGGTATGGCTATAGCCCATGAATTTGTTCAGACTGCTCTTGGGCCTGTGGGCTCACAGTGTCCTGCTTGTAGTACAGCACTGGGAATGCTCATATCCTCTCCTGCTTGGCTAGGATGGACTCTGGAGAAGAGGGTGAGGAAACAGTCTTGTATTGACTCTACCATGAGGAAAAGATAATCCTCTTTCAGAAGAGCTGTTTGATGTGTTCCAAGGTGAAGGTGAAGGCATTTTTAATGGAGAAAAGCTTTTCCTTTCTACCTTCTCTAGCAGCAAGGATACCATGCCTCGGCAAGTAGGACTGGTGGGGGCATACAGTCTGTTTCTATAGCGACTTGGGATACCCTTGTAATGGAAAGATCAAACCACAGGCTTATCCTTGTGATGTCTGTGCTGGAAAACACATCAGGGAAAGAAATCTACAGCTCTAGCTGTCCTGTGGGCCAGGTGGGCTGGGCTCTGGGGACAATGGCCTGTCTGTCATGGAAAGGAACCATTCTCTGCCCACATGGGATGGGACCACCTTGGCTGGCTGGCTGACAAACACCCATCCTGCTGCTCAGGCCTCTTCTCACAGAGGCCACCCCTGCTGACAACACCTGGACACAGACATCCAAAACCCCAGCTCAGAGGGCTGCTGGAGTCCCCATGGGGTCCCCATGTCCTCTGAAACCCCTGCAGCTGCTCATCACACTCCCTGGGGCTGGAGACAAGGACAACTGATCACTTAGTTCAGTAGGACTGGCTTCCTTTGTAAATAGGACCGTGCCTCAGGAAATTCTAGGAGGATTTTGCACCTGTCTGTGTTTGTTTCCATTTCTGAATAAAGTTAAAACCCTGTCAGGAGCCCTCCAGTTCTGCTTACTTCTGATTTCACAATTTAACTTAATCATAAAAGTACTTGTTAAAACATGCCTGTTTTGGAAGCTGTTCCAGACAGAATATTAGCTCTGTCTGGAAAAGTGTGAGCCTTTAGGACTTCTACCAGAGTTTGCTGAATTTATCAGAAGTACTGAGTTTGGTGTGTGCTAGCTCATTTCTCTACCAGTTTTAAAAATATATAGTAAAGATGAAGGGGATGATAGGTAAGAGTATGAGTTAGAAAAGTAAAAGCTTTTTTCTCATTGACACATATATAAATTAAATTTTATGGAAAAAAAAATCAGGAACTTACAAAAACTATGGCAAAACTCAAAAAAAACCACAATTTAGCTCTGAAGAATCAAGATTAAAACCAGAGAAACCCCAAAACTGAACACAAAAGTCCTGAAGAAATAGGGTATTTCGTCACAAAATTCAGCAATAATAACTTGTTGAAAGGGATAGCTGAGATGGCTCTAGAATCTGAACCTCCTGATTTGTGTCCTGGTCTGTTGCTTTCTCTGCCTGTGAAATTGCTCATTTCACAAATCATACAGAAATCCATTAATGACTTATAATGACACAGAATTATATCAGAAATAGTCCAAGAATAGTATTTTTATGTAGGCAATAAAAGAAAACAGGTTATTCCATCTGCAAGGGAAAACTCAATGAAGTAATTAGCTCCACCTTTCTTTCTGTGTGACTAATAAATCATACGCAAATCTAAATCAGCTGAATTATTAGGCAGTGCCCAGGCATTAAAGAGTTCTGTAATTATTTCAGCATAACCTGAGGTCAAACAGGAGAAGCTACAGAGGCAGAAAACAAGGAATGACCTTGAAAAGCTAATTCCTAAGATCATCAAAGACACAAAAAGTCTGAATGTTGGATACTGGTCACTGCTGTGACCAAAAAACAGCAGTAGTGGTGATGATTTTCGGGGCAAGCAGAGTGACAGCCTTATTGTTGCACTGAACAAGAGGAAGAGACGATGCACACAAGGGGGGCTGGGGACTCCTTCTCCTGAAGGCTGATTTTTAATCTTGCAATCTGTGATGGGTTGACCTTGCTTGGCTGCCAGATGCCCTCTTGACTACTCTCTCCCTCCTCCTCCTCCTTCTCACAGGATAAGGGAAGAAAATAAGAGGGAGAACCTTGTGGGTCAAGATAAAGTCAGTGGTACCATTTAGCAGTTACCACTATGGGCTAAACAGATTTATGGAACATTAATTTATTGCCAGTTTAAATAGGTTGGGAAATAAGAAAGCAAAGCAAGACTAAAACAATATCTTCAGTCTGTACAAATACCAAAAAATCCCATGGTGTCTAATACCATTTCTACTGAAGCAAAAAACCCTGATCTTCAGTTTGCTAATAAAGGTTCTGCCCTCAGGTTAGTTGATTACCTAACAAAAATAAAGAAGAACAGTTTCTTCAGAACTCAGATTTCTAAAGGCTTAAAAACGTTTGAAGTACAAGGGGGTGGGGCTAGGGAAAAAAAAAAAAAAAAAAAAAATATTCCAAGGGGTGGCTCCCTAAACAAGTAGTCTCTCCTCACCAGAATGTGGGCCAGTGTCTTTCTTAATCTTCCTACTTGTGTAGGTGGAAAGAGGACTTACAACAGTGACTGAGCCCAAGAGCAAATCAGCTGCTATTGATGTCCCACAAATGAAGTGGCTTCCTTCTCTCCACCACAACTTTTTGTGTACCTCCTGTGGAAACACAGGTTCCCTGCTCCAGATTATCTGGATTTCTGTATAACCCCTGGAGCTGGTATGTTCTTGAATTATTATAGCTGAGCTTCATTTTAGACTGTTTTTTATGTCATACATTATTGCCATAATAGAAGATAGTTTGCTGAATGATTGTATATTTTCTGCTTTGCAGAGAGAAATGTAAGGTTCCAGTGGAAGACTAAGAAACCCATTTTTAGTCTTAGTATTTCTTTAACTAGTTGTGTAAAAGTAACATAAAATGAATGGTGTACAGTCACCAGGATATCATATGCAACTAACTTTTGTTAATGAAAACTGCAAAAATAATGCTTGTAATGTAAAAAAGGACACTAAAAAATGCTTTCATAAAAGTAATTTATGAAGGTGGATAAGTTAAGGACTTTCTGATGTAATGTTTGAATTATAATTTTGTGTATCCTATTCACTTTGGGTAAATATGGATGCAAATGGATAGCAGAGTGATCAATGTAGTTATTTAATAGGTATCTTTCACTGAAGTGTACTGGCATGATATAAGATATTGCTATCCCTTCCTACCCTGCCTTTCATTCATGTATATCTGTGCCTCAGCTGTCTGTTAAGACCACACTGCTGCACTCTCTTGTTCCACCAAAGATGTAATGTATCAGATTTTGCACTAAAGTATCAGAGATGCAGGTTCTTGCCTAGGTCTGCCATTCCTGCTGCTGAGTAATAAAATCCTGGCAGAGGAACAAAGCAGATAGTGTGTTTTCTGTCCCCACATGCCTTGACACTCTTCAGCTAATAATCTGTGTCAGGGCAAGTCTGGGAGTGCTCTGTTTTGTATCCTGCTGTGGAGACCCCTAAAGGCTGTCTATGGAAGAAGATAGCTAGAGAGCATCAAAATCCAGCTGTGGACACCTCTCATTCTGTATCTTCAGACTGCAACAGAATAGGGATGGCCCAGGCCCCCAACAAGTCTCAACTGTTCTCTTTAGTGGAAAAGAGGAAAAACAAATATGGAAGAGGAAGGGCAGAACAGATCACCATCTTTTCCTG